TTTGCCAGGCGTCTTCGTTTGAAATAACATTTCAATAGACAACAGAAGAAAAATTTAAAAGAAGCCGGAATGAATGAATCTGAATATGAGAGTGATAAGGAGATATATGCATCCCAAACTTTAACAAGAAAAGTACATGGAATCCACCGAAAAGCAAAAACGATGGTATTATAAACATTTACATTAAGCTGCAAAAACTTCTTAACAGCCTCCTTTTTTTTACCTGGATGGCTGCACGCGCCTGATGAAGCTAATTTGTTTAGCGAAATATTGCGTGAATATATAAAATATATCAACTATTTTTCTAACACTCATTAGTGTGTTAAAGTAACATTCTTAGGCATTTATATAATTTAATTTAGTAACTGCATCAGTTTATTTACAAACTGATCCACGCCTAGATAGATTGAATGTTGATTGTTGCTATTTTTAGACACTATATACTATTTTCACAGGCAACACGCATCACACATCTTATTTTGTGTAATCCGTTCATACCTATTTCCCTGCAACATCATGGGAAATAAAACATATTTCAATAAATTGAGAAGTTTAACGTAAAAAAAGACTTGAACATCATGCTTCAAATCTTAACTCGTACATAGATAACAACACATACCAAAGGGTTTAATTATCAAATTGACGCTACAAACACCGGTTGTCAAGTCCACCAGATTGAAGAAACTTTGAGACGATATTGTATTCAACTGTCCTTTCCGACTTCTTCAACTTTTACTCTGCTTTTCTATCTACGGTTACGAACAAATTAATTCAGAAATAAATGAGACGTTTATAAAAGCACCACTGTCTGTTACTACTGAAGACATGGAAGTAATTCAGAGAAGACTATCCGACATCCAAAGAATAGAGAAACAAAATTTCAAAGCCAAACAAAATAAGAAATTCAAACGAGACCGTTTTGAACCAACAAAGTTGCGTTTTTGAAGAAGATCAAATTTTAAAAAAGAGTACATCGAAACGACCGAGAAAAGTACGTTTTAAAAAAAATAGAAACACTCAGTTCAAGATAATTTTGTTGTAAATCTGTCATCAATAGAACTAACTGCCTCTGAAGAAAAACTATTGAGTAAAGGCCTTAATTTCTGTCCAGTTCCAGCTACTGTCAATAATTCACAACTAGAGACAGATGTAGAAGAATTTTCCAGGCATCTTTGTTTGAAAGAACATTTCAATCGACAACAGAAGAATTTTTTTAAAAAGAAGCCGGAATGAATGAATCTGATTATGAGAGTGACGAAGGAGATATATGCATCCCCAAATTTGAAAAGTAAACTACAAAAAAGAGTCCACCTAAAAGCAAAAACGATAATTTGGAATCATTTATAACATCAGTTAAAGCTGAAGTCAGATCTTCAATCAGTGGTAAACAAGTGCAAAATATTTCAAAGTCAGAAAGCTAAGCCATGATAAACTTAAAAGACCGTGATGACATTGTTATCAAACAAGCAGACAAAGGAAGTGCCGTTGTTGTGATTAACAAGGCAAACTACATCGAAGAAGGGAATTGTCAGCTCTCTAACACTAAATTTTATAAATAATTAACATGTGATCCAACCAAAGAAATCAACAAAAAAATAAATAACGTCCTCGCAGAAATGAATAAAGATAAACAAATTGATGACGAGACGTACGATTATCTACGCCCAGACGAAACTTGCACAGCCGGTCGATTTTATTTACTTCCAAAGCTCCATAAAGAAGGGATTCCAGGGAGACCTATAGTATCAGCTAATGGCTATTCTACCGAAAAACATTCAGAATTTGTTGATTACCATCTTAGACCACATGTTAGACAATTGCCATCTCATATTCAAGATACAACTGACTATTTGAAGAAAATGAATTCCTTAAGTCCTTTACCTAATGACACAATTTTGGTTTCGATGGATGTGAGTTCTTTTTACACTAATATTCCAAAAGATGAAGGAATAGCCGCTTGTGAAAAAGTATGGAACACTCGAAAGGATAAACATTCCCCAAATGACTGTTTTATTCAGTTGCTTAAGCTAGTGCTTGAAAATAACAACTTTATTTTCAACGACAAGCACTTTTTACAGATTGACGGAACTAGTATGGGAACAAAAACGGCACCTTCTTTTGCCAACATTTTTATGGGGGATCTTGAAGAACGCATCCTTTTGAGTGTGCCATACAAATCCTTGTCATGGCTCCGTTTTATTGATGATATTGACATGAAATGGAACGATACTGCAGAACATCTACAAGATTTTTTAGATCATTGTAACCAGTTCCATCATTCAATAGAATTTAAATCTGAATTTTCAAGCGAAAAAATTCCTTTCCTCGACACCACCACATTTGTAAAAAACGGGGTCATGACAACTGATCTCCACAAAAAGAAAACTGATAAACACCAGTTTCTCTCTCCGAAAAGTTGTCACCCGAAACATTGCTTCAAGAGCATTCCTTATAGTCAAGCCATCAGACTAAAGCGAATTTGCTCCTCGGAATCCAAACTCAACTATCGTTTGGGACAACTCAGAAAACAACTTAAATCAAGATGATACAAAACCAAAAATATCACAGAAGCTTTTGATTAAGCCCAAGAAAAAGATCGAAAGATCCTCATGGAATACAAAGATAAGACGACCCGCCCAGATAGAATTCCGTTTGTTGTCACTTTCCATCCCGATTTGACAAATATTTCATCTATTGTCCGCAATCACTGGCGTCTTATTGAAAATGACTCTTCCTTAAAAGAAATTTTTTCCATCACCTCCTGTTATTGCGTATCGCAGACCAAATATCTCAAAGACATACTTGTTACATCTAAAGTAAAAAAACAAGAGACTTCTTAAATTGGGTGTTACAAACAATGCGTAAGAAGCAATTGTAAGTGCTGTTAAGTCGCCAACACTGACCACTCTTTCACCAGCACAGTAACAAAGCAGCGATACAACATCTATGTTACATCTAATTGTAAAACGGAAAATAGTATTTATATTCTTACTTGTGGAACTTTCAAGCTGCAATATGTTGGCGAAACAGAAACTAAATTCAACATCATACTTAATAATCACCGGTCTTTTTATACCAAAGGAAGAAACTGCCCAATCACGAGACACCTCTTAAGAACAGGACATACTTTTGAAAATATCGCCTTTCAAATAATAGAGGTAAACCAAAATTGGAACACCCAAAGTAGAAAACAGAGAGAGAGATTCTGGATGCATCAGCTACGTACTCTTGAACCTGATGGACTGAATGAGAGAAATGAAAAAAAAGTTTTGTCCAAAACCAAAGGAATAAATCCTGAACTTCATACTATTTAACTAACACAATTATTTGTTTTGATTTCAGAATCGCAATGTACAATAAGCTGCAAAAATATATTAAAGACATGTACATTAAGCTGCAAAAATTTCTTTACAGCCTCCGATTTTTTACCTGGATGGCTGCACGCGCCTGATGATGCAAAATTTGTTTAGCGAAATATTGCGTGAATATATAAAATATAACAACTATCTTTATAACACTCATTATTGTGTTAAAGTTACATTGGCATGTATATACAAGCAATATATGTACATATTGTGTAGTCAGTTACTTAAGATCATGTTTATTGTAAATTGTAAACATATGACGACTCTAAATAAATTAACTTACTTTTGCCTAAAGGTACAATCCATAAAAATGCTTCGGACGCACGAAATTAATTGAGTGTTATTTTCATTTATCATACTTGGATAACTATTATACATTTTAAACACCTTAAGATAGTAGTTAGTATGGTTGGGTAAAAAGGGATTTGGAAAGGATATTTCTTCGAAAATCCAAAAAAATAATCATGTTATCAAAGAAACAACATTTGAAATTTTTGGGTTTTGAGCGTTTCTGATGAAGGTAAGTCCAGTATAGCGCTTCGGACGTACGAAATTAAATTAAGTATTATTTTCATTTACAAGCACTAGGTCGATACCACTGCTGTGGACTGATAGTCCCCGAGAGTATCATCAGCTCAGTATTGAACGCTTCAGTAGTAACATGATTTAGAACATGTTTGAATGCTATACGAACGCCATTAAGATTTGGTCGCTTTGTCATAACAGTTGTTAAATGATTTGGTGTATTTTTTTTTACAGTTTTCCCCTTGTACTTGCGCTGTGTGGTTGTTGAATTTCTAACTAGAGATGTCGTGGTTAAAATTACTGCATAATGGAAAGCTGTCGGCGAATTGGAGGACGGGAAACAATATTTCGATGGCAGTACATTTTTAAATATTTGAAAAAAAGGATTCTCTTTTAAAAATAAAATATATGTACACGTGTTCTATAATAAATCTAAGCCGTTCAATTATCTAAAATATATTCAACCTTTTGGTTAAATTTGAAGTATCATATAACTTTAATTGTACTGACTAAAACACGGATAATGCATGCATTACCACAAAGCAATGAAATTTAATTTAATTTAATTGATTGATGTTTAACGCCACTTTCAACACTATTGTGCTATTTCTCGGCGGTCAGTTTTTATTGGTGGAAGAAGCCGGAGAGCCCGGAGAGAACCTCCTATGGTATGAAAACTGACAATCCTAGTCAGTAAAGATTGGAGTCGAGTGCACCTGCCCCGTACGGGATTCGAACTCACAACCTAAATGTTGACTGGCTATTGATACAGTAGTTCGACTACTTAGACCACTTGGCCACCGAAGCCCCAAAGGCATTGAAAGATGATACACAAAATCCTGCTATATACAAAAATAAGCGTCATGATTTATAATTTATTAATAAAGAGAAAGAAAGAGACATACAGATAATGCAAAAGGTATTGAAATTTCCTACAGGAATAGCTACAAAAAAAGGAACTGTTTAAAGTCTTGCTATATGTTTATTTTGCTATTATCTCCACAAATATCTGATGTTGCCTCGTGGTCGCAAATTGAAAATTCCGGTTGCTGCGTCATACACGCATCTCCCCGTTTAAATCTATCTTCATATTTAAAATCTTAACCGAAATGGATATCAGCATTACACATCTCTTGACCATCATCTTGCCTGTAAAATAAATCCAGACTAGGATAAAAAAAAAATCACCAAAGATCCAAGTAAAATGTATCAAATGGACAGGTTGCATATTTCTTCCTATAAAATTTCGAAGATTTTAGATCAGATGCCTTCGAGAACTAGGTTTTGATTAATTAACAAAAAAAATTTTGATTAAACTTCAGTAAAGAATTACTTTATTTCATTTGCAGTATGGTATGCCATCATTGTACAATAGTATAACAAATTAATATCATTATCTGTTATTATCAATATCTGTTATGTAATCTATATTCGTGTGTTGCAACATTTAAAAAGCACGGAATATGGTGCATATCATTCATTTCAAAAGAAAGTCGACAGCTGGTATTTCTTATCGAGATTCATTCCTAGGATTTTCCAGTCTACCAGGAAGCTCTCTAACTTAAGGGTTCTAACTTATACAGTTAAAATGATTTGTTTCTACAATTCTACGGACCACAAATGAACATACAAATTTCCATTTATCGGAATGTAACAGTCCGTCTTCTTTTCTTCGCTCATAATTTATCACAGGATACAATTTATCACCGGATACAGCTTACCACTGAAAATCTACTTGCCATGGAAAACAAGACTGGTGATACTAGTTAAACAGGAATTGCTCACCCCTTTTAAAGCATTTGCGTCAACCGTCGAATTGTGTTTTTGTTCGTGTTGCTAAATTTTAACATCCTTTTTTATAATGATCTGTAGACGATTGTTTCCCTGTTCATATGTGTTATTTGTGTATGTTGGTATCTGTCCTTCATCGACTAATACTATATACTGTCCCTTGGCATCATATCATTTCCTTTTATTGTTTACCAACCGAATAAGGATAAAATTGTTACAGTCTATATTTAATTTTGACGATAAGGGAAAAATAGTTAAATTCAACAATCGAAAAGTATAATGAATCTATCAAATGACTTTTTTTCGTATTATATAGTGAGCCAGAAACAACTAACCCTACCGTAACACCTAAGTTCAAACCCGTTTTTTTGTATTCTTTAAGTAGTGTTTTGTTGACTCTAATAATTGTTAGTCTTTTTAGTGCTTTCCTTTGTCAACTTTGTTATTGACCCCTTTTTCCAATACTGTAAGTCAATTTATGTTCGTGACTTCCGCGGAAAAAAATAACGCGAATAATTCAGTAAACGTTCTTAATAACAAAAAATCTGTTGAGTACTGCTACTACATCGTACTTATTCTTACCCGAAACGAACTGGCTTATTATCCTTGTTGATATATAAACACTTTGCAGCCTAGTATTTAAAGAAATTAACAGTTAAAAAGTACATATTTATATTATACAGCTTTGTAATAAAAACAACTTGACACAATATATCGCTTTTAACAATTTAAACTCACTCGGGGAAGTTACAATATAGTTAGGATTTACTTGTACTTGATTATTTCTATTTCAAAGATCTCACATTTTCGATAATCATCAACATTTTATATGCTACTGAACTATGAACAAATAACACAGTTTGACTGCTTCAAGTGCAAAGCAGCAGATGATTTTTTATTTTTCAGATTCGATGGACATTTGAAAATATGCCTTTTTTAAAATTCAGATGAATAGCCAAGCCTATGTCATTAGCATATCAAGTTTCTTACCAGAACATCTCCCCGTCGTACGTCAATAGCCCATCCAGCTACTGGTACAAACACCTGTAAAAGGTCTGTCGTTTAAAAAAAAACCCATCATTTAAAACCTTACATTGAAAGCTATGCCTTTATTTATCAATTGTCTTGGCTTTTACATATCTTATTCGTCATGATATTGATAGTTTATATTTTACTTTTATAATTTTTTATCTGAAAATTTTTTTTTATTTTCGTAAGCCAAATAATTTCTGTTTATTAAAGGAAATAAGATAAAGCCTAACAAAACACATATGAAACTATGAACGAGCGTAGGTATACGTCTCATTAAAGTAATATTAAATATTTTGACGTCACTTATTCTATAGAAATGAAACTTTGATAAATATTGGACAAAAATAAAGCAGTCACTAGGCATTATGCATTAAAAAATCTCTACAATTACAGAAAACTTTTAAATTTGTTTTGTTTTTTGGAACACTGCTTTTTATAGCTGATTTCTGATTGTTTCTGTTTAATTTCTTCACAACTTTTATAGAGTCGAGACATTTTTGGATTTGACATATTGTATAGACACATGTCTATTGTTAAAGACAGCATGTTGCCCTCCATATGCAATTTGGTTATGTTTGCAGGTTGCAAACGAATCGATGTTTACCTCACGTCTCCCTTTATTCATATTGTGAAGTGAAATAAACAATACCGCCAGTGTTATACCAAATTCAGTTAGGTCAACATGAGTCAAACATTTTCCAACTGAGTTTCACAAATTGTTCGAATGTGCTGTAACACGAATGTCCAATGGAGATGAGGGGATGGTTGTCAAACATGCTTATACCTACCATAATCATTATGACTTTGTGCTTTCCAACGTGACAAGCCCACAGTTCAGTGGCTGTCGTTGGCTGTCGTCTGCTTTGTTTTTCATTTAATGTTATGAGCTTAAATCAGGTCGTCTAATTTCTCTTTTGTATTGTCTCACATTTTGTATAAGGCCCCTGCACCACTCACTATACGGTGTTGGTATTGCTCATTGTTGAAGGCCTAATAGTAAACTAAAGTAGTTTACATGTCTGTCATTTAATATATTGATCGATAGGTGTATTTCATACTATCATACTGTATATCTCTTTGTTTTAATACCATCTGATTAAAATACAGATCCTTTGTTCATGCTTTGCTAACAAGGATGTGACAAAACTGATTTACTTTTGTTCTGGTAATTATTACATCAGCCAATGAAATTCCTGTCATCGAATTTTTGAAGGTGTGTATCATTAGAACAAAACCAGAGGATCCCTTAAAGTATCAAAAACAGAAAGCAGAATAGAGTATTGTCATATCCTTGTAAGCGGAGTGTTGACATATGATATCTATTTTACTCAGATTTGTTTATATCTGTATACATAAATAACCTTAGCTTTTCCTTGTGTTAACTGACTGACCATTAAAGTCCAAGTACCGTTTCGAATTCTATACACATCAGCCGTGTATCCTGTATTAAATGCAAATGTTTTAAATAAATTTGCAAATAGAAATCACTAATACTATATTTTACCAATCAATAACAACAATTCGAGCAACATTGGTCTGACCATAGAAAACAGAAGGAACAAGACTGGAGTCTTGTGTTGATTTCGCTTGTGAAAACATGAAGTTACGATAATCATTTTTTTCCTTGCGTGGCCAAATTATAGCTGTAAACGGTACAAATATTGCTTACGATTAATTATTATCAAATTAAGATGAATAAATTATATCTATCAAAAGTTTAAGATAATCTAACCTCTACTTTCACTTATCATAATGATGTGTATGTACTTGAACCGCATATGCAACAACTTCAGGCTTGCTCCAGCTACAAGCTATTTCCGCAAAATATCCTATAATAAAAATACTATATGTATCATTTATCAATATTTCATAGTTTTGTTTGAAGGAAAGTAAAATTAGCAAATATCTTCAATTGTGGAATACATCAGTAGAAATTATTAGCAAAATTATTACTGACTTATAATCACTCACAGCATATAAGTCGTCATGTATATTGATATGTTTAATTAGTACAAACATAATAAAGGGGAAACGCGAAACATTTTTGCCGTGACAAATACAATTACACAGAGTAAATTAAAGACCTAAACAAATAGTGTAGCACTGTCTAACTGATGTAAGCAGCATAGTAGAAAAAATCGGAATCAACCAGAAGTGATTATTTTCCTTTACACTATAACAAAAAATAGGACGATATATAAAACTTACCCATTTCTTTATTTGCGGGAATAAATCCGCCAGTCAGCAGTAAGTGACTTTGATAGTTGTATTTTGTGCTGAGTGATAGAAAAATAAATACACATTAAAGTGAAGGAAATCTTCGTAAGAAATCGGTACAGAAATCTCCCTTCATTCCCTTTTCGTTTACAATAAAAAATGGATTAGACAAGAAACATTCAGCAATATGATTTTGTATCATGCCTAATTACTGGATACATAATTCAATGACGCAAATGTCAAACAAACTTATCATATTTGCTTTTGGTTTATTGTTTTGTACATAAATCATTTGGTTAGTTTTCTCGTTTGAATTGTTTTACATTTGTCATTTCTTACTACAAGTAATGGGCTTTGCTCATTGTTGAAGGCCGTACGGTGACCTTCAGTTGTTAACTTCTACTTCATTTGATATCACTACAAACCAGTAAAAGTCTGAAATGGCCTATATCTGTACTCGACTGTACTGATTTTTACTCGACCAGTCTGAATTGGTCTGAATTTTACTCGACATTACTCGACCCCAGTCTTAACCATACTCGACTGTACTGATTTGTACTTGACCCTTATCTTTGCCATTGAAAATAGTCTGAACTATTACTCGACCAATCTGAAACAGTCTTAACCCATTCTCGACCTGTACTCGACCTATTTTTTTCAGTCTAAACCATACTCGACCAAAGGTCTGAACCATACTGGACCAAATAACCTCTACTTTTTCTAAATTTTAACTGTTAAAATAAATTTCTTTTTAACTGACATGACAACAGCCACAATAAAATAAAGATATTTTATAATAAAAACAGATTTTTACATTCTTACATAATTCTCAGATTTATCCAATAGAGATAGTTAAATCAAATTATCTTGTATAATAATTTAATTATATGAATTTTAAAGTTTTAGAGTTTTGTTAAAAAAAGATTTTCTTTTACCTAAAAACCACACCTATACTGAGGGCAATTAAACCTTATTAAAGTGCTTCTTGTTTGGCATGTATTTTTTTTTTAAATTAATTTTCCTAAATTCCTAAATAAAAACTACATAGGTTTCATGGTTACATACAAAAAATGTACAATAGTTATATAATTATCTTTTTAATGAGGTAACAACAGACATCAAAATCACTGAAATTTTTTAACCTTATTTTAGAAATATATCTATTATCATAATTTGGGATATATTATATACAATATATATCAAAAAGGGATAAAAATTAAAGAAATTAATAAAATTGTTCTTCTGATTAGTAATGAAGTATAAAGTAATACCTCCTGCTTGGGGCAAACTCATGAAAAAGATCACACCTGGTCAGAGAGTATCAAATTCTAAATAACATTCATTCAAAATTGCAACATCCTGTGAAACTTAAATCGCAAGGCCTTTTGAATTCACTAGATAAGTAATACACGAGTTTAAGAAAAATAGGGCTTTCTTTTTACCTGTAAAACACACATGTACTGAGGTAATTAAACCTTATTAAAGTGCTTCTTGTATGCCATGTCTTTAATTTTGACAAAAATTATTTAAATTTAATTGAAATAAATTTTTACTGTAACTTTGGAACACATCTCCGTTTTTAAAAGTTTATCACAGGATTACTATGGAAGTTCTATTATCATGATTATATTAAATTCTTGGTTTAACAAAACAAAGGTGTCATTTTTTAAATTTATTAAGTTGCTTTATATGCTATTTTATATATATTTTAATAAAAAAAAATGTTCACTGCATTATTAACTTAACTCAACTGACACCATAAATCTATACGAGGCTTAAGTTAATGGTGAAAATCGTCCAGTTACCATAAAATATATCTGAAAATTTTGAATTACATTGAAAATATTAGTCACAATTCAGTTTTGAGATTATTTGATCAGCTTGTTTTATTTTTATTTTAAAGGTGATATATGTATGTATATAAGTGTTGATGAATATGGTGATGAAGTTATATTATGTTTATTGTGAAATTTTGGTTTCAATGCTATATTGAATACATTTTTAATTTCAAATTGTTGTTCAAATTTCTAGCCAGGGGAAATAGCTGTTGTTAAAAACAGTTCCTAAATTGATGAAATACAATAGATAGATACAAAAAATAGGTCTAGGTTGGTTAAGACTTGGTCGAGTATGGTTCAGACTAGGTCGAGTATGGTTCAGACTAGGTCGAGCATGGTTCAGACATGTATAAAATGGTTAAGTAATGGTCGAGTAAGGGTCGAGTACAAGTTCAGACTGTTAAGTATGGTTCAGACTACAGTCGAGTATTATCAAGTAAATTTCAGACCAATTCAGACTGGTCGAGTAAAAATCAGTACAGTCGAATACAGATATAGGCCATTTCAGACTTTAACTGGTTTGTAGTGTATCTGGTGGGGAATGGTCTCATTGGCAATCATATCACATTTTCTTATTTTTATATTCTAATGCTATAGTTGAAAATTGAATTTTTATCAGACGCACAGGTTGACTATACAGGGAAAAATTAAGCAGTCATGTCTGAAAAGTAATCACAGTACTTACGGAGTTTTGATAAATGTTAACTTTACATTGGTTAATGGATATTGGAAATCTGAAATATATATGTAATTCATCAAACATTATGAAATCATAGATCATTCATTATACCTATGCATATGTATTATTTCTAATCAGTAGTTCAGATTTACAAAAACTCTTTATGTATCAAAATTTTCTATAACGGTTACAGCCGTAATTAGATGTAGACCTTTTTGTGATTACGAAGTATTTAACAGGGATCCGCTATATATTA